GTATACATGACCCGAGTGGAAAAAGAACTTGATAGAATCATTGCCCTGTCGCGAAGACTATGCCGAGCTTCTGACTGAAATATTATCTAAATAAGTAAAATACGGCAAGTCATTGGAGCACTACTACTATGCAAAGATCTATTTATTAAATCGCTATAAAATTTTCGGTAGACAAGCTGTGGACTGCCTTCTTTACGGTGTTGAGAATTGTGCTACAAAAGTCGGGGCTCAGGCCGCCCATTTCTCGGAGCCTGAGCAGGTTCTTAAATATTTTAAGACTGTCAAAAGCCAAACGCGAACAAGCTTCGACGCACCAATACAAAATCATAGTGATCGTAAGGTTACGCTAGCGTCAAACAGACCCGGGTCGTCTAAATCTGACTCATTCAATAATAATATTAGGTGTTTTAACTGTAGCGATATAGAGCATCCTAGCTTTAGGCGCGATACGCCTCTTACAAAATGCACAGTTTGTGAGAGATTAGGTCATAAATCTAACGATTGTTTTAGAAAGAAATTAGCATCTGAGCCGGGATATAACAGGAATAGTCAAACTTCTAGTAATTCTAAATGTGAGAAACACGTATCGAAAGTAACTTTAGGTGTTTGCCCCTGTGATAAATATATAATCAACATAAAAGTTAACGGATTTTCTACAACCTGTTACGTTGACTTGGGGAGTCAATGTTCTTTAGTTAGGTTAAGTGATGCAGAAACTATGGGACTCGACATTAATTCCCAAACTAAGTTGCCTGTACTAAAAGGGATAGGGTCTAACTTAGTAAGACCATTAAGCGTAGCGCTAGCCTCCGTAACAGTGCAAGGCTTAACGGAGGATATAGAGCTTTACATAGTTGACGATTACGTTCTTAATCACCCAGTTTTGTTGGGGCACTCAGTTACAGAAAAATCTGATATTTTGATTATCAAAACTCCTAGTAAATTGATCTTCCAAAGGATAACTCATAACAAAATTCGTTTATTAACTGAAAACATCGCCAATATTCCTAGTAATGCATTGCAAACGGTGGAAGTATGTGCCAATACGGACATTGATTGTAACATTTGCGTTATCGGATCGCTACGTGGTTCAGCTGGAAAAGAGTTTTATATTCTACCTGGAGAATACGAAATCAAGAATGGTCGAGGTGTTCTCTTAATATGTAATATATCAACAAATGATATATGCATAGGAAAGAATTCACTTTTAACACGTGCCCTACAGAAACATTTAATGCCTACGGGTTCTACAACTCACGTATTGGATTCGTATAAAGTCACCCTTGATTCAACTGGAATAGATGAAACAATTAACTGTAGTTCTCAACTTACTAATGAACAAACACTTGAGTTACAGAGATTACTTTCGAAATACAAAGAATGTTTCTCAAATGGACTTTATGATCTCGGGTTTACAAATGCTACAGAAATGGTAATTGAGTTGGAAAACTCTGAACCAGTCGTTTACCGTCCCTACCGCATGTCTTATACTGAGCGACAACTAGTAAGGGACATGATAAAAGAGATGGCCGACAGTGGAATCATAAGAGAGTCTTCATCGCCCTATGCCAGCCCAATTGTATTGGTACAAAAGAAGACTGGTGAGAAACGGCTATGTGTCGACTACAGGGCTCTTAACAGAAAGACGAAGAAAACTCATTATCCATTACCTCGAATCGAAGATCAATTAGATTTACTAGCAGGTAATACTTTATTTACATCATTGGATTTGGCTTCTGGCTATTACCAGATACCAATTTCTGAAGAATCTCGAAGCAAGACTGCTTTTGTAACGCCCGATGGGCAGTATGAATTTAATCGTATGCCGTTTGGGTTGGTAGATGCACCATCTGTGTTTCAACGCACCATCAACAAAATACTTATGGAGGCTAAAATCAAGTATGCCATTGTATACATGGATGATGTGCTTATCCCGTCTAAAACCTTTGACGAAGGCATTGTTAGACTAGAAGAAGTACTCAAACTCTTGAAGAGAGGAGGTCTAACCCTCAAGTTAGGTAAATGCAATTTCTTCTATGAAACTATTGACTTTTTAGGATTTGAAGTAAGTGCTAATGGAATCCGCCCAGGCAGTAGGAAAACAGACGCTGTCTCAAAATTTCCGAAACCTCGCAACCAACATGAATTAAGACAGTTCCTTGGGTTATCTGGATTTTTTAGGCGTTTTATCAAAGGTTATGCTACAATCACGGCATCATTGACTAGCCTTTTAAAGAAGGACTCTTGCTGGACATGGGGACCAAGCCAAGAAGAGTCCTTTTAAAAAAATTAAGGAAATACTAGTCAACCGCCCATTGCTAGCTCTTTATGACCCTTGTGCAGAAACAGAACTTCACACAGACGCAAGTAAGGAAGGTGTGGCAGGAATATTACTGCAGCGAAATTCAAAGAACACATTACAGCCCATATCTTATTTTAGTAGGAAAACAAATGCACACGAGCGTCAACTTCACTCATTCGAACTCGAAACTTTAGCAGTGGTTGCGTCATTGAATCGCTTTAGAGTCTATCTTATAGGAATACACTTTAAAATTGTAACTGATTGTAACGCCCTTAGATCCACTCTGACTAAACGAGATTTAGTAGCTCGTATTGCGCGCTGGTGGATCCAGCTACAAGAATACGACTGCACGATTGAATATCGACCAGGCGCCCGAATGTCTCATGCAGATGCGCTTAGTAGAAACCCGGTGGACTGTTCGTCTGAAGGTATTGCAGATGACCGGCTAATATGGGATGTGTTGGCGATACAGCAAAGTCATTCGGACTGGATAGTTACCGTGCAATCTGCTGATGACGAAATAAAGAAAATAAAGCACATATTAACGGACTCCAAGGCAGACCAATATGTAGACATAATTAAAAACTACAAACTTAAAAATGAGCGCGTCTATCGAATTGTTGGCGATTCACTAAGATGGGTAGTACCTAAGGGAGTACGTTGGCAAATACTCAAAATGAACCACGACGACATCAGGCATTGTGGTTTTGAAAAAACATTGAAACGAATCCAAGAACATTATTGGTTCGCTAAAATGCGCCGCTTTGTAAAAAAAATATGTGACGTCTTGTTTCGAGTGCGGACATCACAAAGCGCCGGGAGGAAAACGTGAAGGAGAGTTACATACAATAAATAAGGTCAGTATTCCCTTCCACACAGTCCACGCAGATCACTTAGGACCCTTTGTGAAAAGTAAGAAAGGGAATAGCTATTTGTTAGTTTTGATTGATGGCTTTACAAAATATATTAACATTACTCCTGTTAAGAATACAAAGTCCGTGACAAGCATACAAGTTATTAAAAACCACATAAGTTACTTCGGCGTACCCACGAGACTGATCACCGATAAGGGAACTAGCTTCACGAGTAAAATTTTTCAGGATTTTATTATGTCTTATGGTATCAAACACATCACAAATGCCGTTGCTACTCCAAGAGCTAACGGTCAAGTAGAACGTTTTAATAGGACCATTTTAGATGCTTTATCGGCATCTGGACATGGTAAAGACGATAAATCTTGGGACAATTATGTACAGGATATTCAAGTCGGTATAAATACAACTAAGCATAAAACTACACAAAGGTCCCCATCTGAGTTACTTTTTGGATTTAATATAACCGGTAAATCAGAAGGCATCCTAAGCTCTGTTATCAATGACACATTAAATGGAACTCCATTAGAAAAGTTAGACGAACTTAGGCAAGATGCTAGTACAAAAATTAAAGCACAACAAATTGAAGATGCAAAAAGATTTAATGAACGTAGAAAGCCCGCAACTAAATACAATGAAGGTGACTTAATACGTTTAGAAAAGCAAGTCCCACACGACGGAAAATCACAAAAACTTGTAATTAAATTTCAAGGCCCGTATCGCATAGTAAAAGTGCTACCAAATGACAGATTTCTAGTTGAAGATACGCCGCTTACCCGTAAAAACAGTAGAAAATATGAAGCTATAGTGTCAATTGACAAAATTCATCCGTGGATGAATTTCAATAGAGATTTTGAGTCTGATTCAACTGATAATAATACAGTTGACACTGAATAGTTAAAATTAGATATTCATTGGTTATATTATACAAACATAAAAAAAGATAACTGTGCATTTAATACCAATTATAGATTTTATGACGGAAGGTCAATTTTAAATTTTGATTTTATTATTTTGATTAATATTGTATTTATATCTATCATGCTTAGTCTAGTTTAGGATATGTTAAATGTAATAAAAAAAAAAAAAATGTAATTTCGTTACTTTCTTTTATACTTGCGGGGTTTTTTTTTTTAAGTGTAGAAGCGATGGGACTCGCTTTGAGTAGGATGGCCGAGCTGTTAGGTTAATAATTGCTATTGTTAGATTAATAACCACTATATTATTGTTTATAACGGAATTACTCGATAAGTGATTTGACTTTATATTATAATAATTATTAGTTACTTACATTAATGATTGCGGATAATGGATAGAGTAATATAATGTAACCGGAAGGATAATGTTTTGATTGCTGTAAAAGAGTGGGGCGGAAATGACGCCGCCCCACCTTGCTAACAAGTGCTAAAGGTTGATTAGTAAAATGGAGAGTGGCATTAGCTCAACGCGAATCGTCGCAGTAAGACGTGAAGTGAAGTTGAATTTTGTATAAGTTTAAATTGTAAAGTGAACCAAAGTGTAATAGTTTGAATCTACCGTTTGTTTCCTACCTGGACTCGAGATAGTATTGTAGAAAGTGAAATAAAGTATAATAGTTGGAATCAACCCTTATATTTTCTACCTGATCTTGAAATGGTACAACAATATATTACGTACCTATATTTATTTCTTACAAAATACAAATATTTATAATAAAAAAAAACAATATTTACTTCTTAATCTATCTATAGATGCAATTTTCTCCGCCTTAACAAAGGAATATCATAAATGCTTTGGAAAAAAGAAGGCTGATCACATAGAAGGCAACAACTGCATTATAATATATTCTACAACTCGGAGTGGCGCGCGAGGATTTTGCTCTCTAGATCTGCGTGCATCTTCTCGACCTTCCTGGCGTGCTTTTTTATCTGCTGTTGCTGCTCCGCGAACATATCCATCTTGTCACCCGCCGCAGCCACCTGACACATCAACATACACATACTTTCATTTCTAACGCAAATTCTTGTACATACAAAGTTATTTTGTAATTAACAGAACGACTGCTTTGTACCGTGTACCGTAGTAAGGGAATTCATCATTCAATTTCGTCCCGTAGATGTCATAAGAGGCGACTATGGGAAATGCCATAGATTATAGCTTTGAACCAGGGGTTGAAAGCGATAAAGAAATAAGGGTATGGTACCGGTATAGAATTACGATACAGCTTCGATTTAAAGGTAGAACCAAAATGGTTGAGAATTACGGTTGTAGTACCGTTAAAAAAGAATTATATAAAGTTATACCTATATTTTACTAATACCTTTACCGAAATAATTTCGGTACCGAAAAAAAATGAGTATTTTAGGCTTATTTATATGTATTGTGTCTCAGACCTTGCTTAACGTTATGAGACTTTCATTCAATTTGGATTTCCTATGTTACTGTATTTCATGTTCGGGGAAAATAAAACATCTTTATCATATTTGTATTGTTATTTATTATCAGTCAAATATTTAATTAAAAACGTAATATTATGTTTAACATGTGGGTACCAATTCTTAACCTAGCTCCTCAGAATCAGTTAAAGGAACATCTTTAAAGTGATTTCCTTCCAAGGGATTTAGGAATACTAATATTTTTGAGTACACACGGGCTCGCATACAAGTTTTTATATTTTGCATCCCTTTTTTATAAGTAAGTTAAAAATTACTGCCGTGTAGTGGCGGTTAAGAATCCCCGTAGATGTCGCTAAAGGCGACAGAGGGAAAGCGGCAGGATGGGCAGCAGCATCTTCCTGATAACATCAATTGTACAATAAAAAAAACTGCAGTTGCCAACCTACTCGTAAAGCGTGGCAACTACGGAAATACCCCCCCATGAGCAATGACACAAGTAAACGGCCCCCAGTCCCACGGCGGCCGCGCTATTCCTGGCTAGGTGACGACCATGGCAAAGGCGGGATAGGGGGTGCTAAGAATCTCCGGTAGAAGGTCGGGTGCCAACTAAGACGATTCGACTTGGCTACAAACAACGGACGCACCCTGAGGACTACCAAGAAGATCCTGGAGCTGGAAGAAGAGATAGACAAGTTGTGCTTTTATATTATAGGATCATCCGAGGTCCGAAGAGAGGGGGAGGACACGGTGATTCTCGAATCCGGCAACTTGTTCTATCACTGGGAGGGCGACCATCTGTCCCAAGGAGGTGTTGGATTTATCGTCCACAAGTCTCTCGTTAACAACGTTGTAAAGATTGGCAGTGTATCGACGAAGGTTGCGTTCCTCATATTCAGAATCACCAAACGGTATCCAAGGTCATACAGGTCTACGCACCAACATATATTACATTTCTAGATATTCTCTATGATATTTCTAGAGCCATGCATTATTATAAAACCCACTATATGGTGTTAATGGGTCAACGCAAAACTAGGCAAAAAGAAGAAAGGTGAGCTGAAGGTAGGTAAATTTGGGATAGGGCAACGGAACACAAGGGGCCAGCAGCTGACCGACTTCATGGAGAAAGAGGGACTGTTTATGATGAACTCTTTTTTCCAGAAGCGGCTCCACAGAAAGTGGACCTGGTCGAGCCCAGACGGTACGATAAAAAATGAGACTGACTTTATTATGACTGTTCAGTGATTTCTCAGTGATCGCAAGGGTGAAAACTGGCTGCGATCACCGAATGGTTAAAGGCACACTGAACTTAAACGTTAAGTTGGAAAGGTCTCGTCTAAAGAAGTCAACGCTCCGTCCCCCCTCGTGCTATAATCCAAAGTCCCGAAACCTCGAAAACCCGGAAGCTCGAGTCACAAAACCGTTTTCAGTGCCTAAAAGAATGCAATGTAGTGAACGATATGAATGATAAGCACATGGAAACTGTCCATGCGGTCGAAGCTAAGTTTTGCAAGACTCGCCGCAGAAGAACACAAAACTCTCAGATCACACTCTTAATCTCATGGCTGTTAGACAGAAAATGAAACTGCAGTCTTCAACAGATTTGATAGCATACAGGTAACTGAGCAGACAGATCTCCAAATCCATGCGCCGGGACTTACGCAAATTTAATACTGCTCGTATTGAAGAAGCGATCGAACGGAACCAGGGCTCCAAAGTCTTTGCCAGGGATCTGTCTGACAGAGAGTCAATTGTCAAAGCTGAAGAATGAGTGTGGCAGCATCGTTTCCGGGACACCTGAGATTTTGAGTGAGATTGAGAGTTTCTATGCGCAGCTGAACACATTATCGTTGGAGCCACACGCAAGTGTGAGTAACGATCCAAGAGCAAGTCTAATGCAACACTATTCTGATGATATCCCGGAAGTCAGTCTGAGCAAGAAAAGAAGGCTCTCTATCACGTTAAAAACGGCAAGGCCCCAGATGAAGATGGAATTACAGCGGAGTTTTTGAAAGCGGGCGGAAAACCGGTACTTAAAGTCCATCAGAATCTCTTCAATTTCGTCCTTCATGGTGGCACTACTGCGGAGGCTTGGTGCAGAAGTACAGTGGTCTTGTTTTTCAAGAAAGGCGATTACGCTCTCTTGAAGAACTACATACATATTTCCCTTCTGAGCCGCGTCTACGTGCCGTTTTCGAAAGTCATTACGAATCGTCTCGCAAGCAGACTCGACGACTTCCAGCCTCCTGAAAAAGCCGGTTTCCGAAAAGGCTTCAGTACCATAGACCACATACATACCCTGTGGCAGATTGTACGGAAAACCGAAGAGTACAATCTGCCACTTTACCTGGCGTATATGGACTATGAGAAAGCCTTTGATTCCGTCGAAATTTGGGCGGTGCTACAGTCCCTTCAGCGGTGCAAAGTTGACTGTCGGTATATCGAAGTGCTGAAGTGTTTGTACAGTAGGGCTACGATGCTAAGTGCTGTTTTCGAGTCATTACGAATCATATGCAACTGAAGAGAGGTGTAAGACAAATTGACGTTATATCACCCATACTCTTCACCGCTGCATTGGTAGATGTTTTCAAGCTACTGAATTGGAAAGGTATTATTAACATCAATGGCGAGTACATTACTCACCTTCGATTTTCCGACGATATAGTCTTTATGGTGGAATCGCTGGAGGATCAAAGCAATATGCTCAATGACCTCAATAGTGTATCCCAACGTATAGGTTTTAAGATGAACATGGACAAAACAAAGATCATGTGTAATGTCCATGTCACGCCTATGCTGGTAGTTGTTGGGAGCACTAAGCTCGAAGTTGTTGACGAGTACGTTTGCCTGCAAATAGTCCGACCAGGTAAGTCTAACTTCAACCGAGAGGCCAATCGACGGATTCAACGCGACTGGGCAGCGTTCGGGAAATTACGACACATCTTCTCGTGAGGTATACCTCAAAACCTAAAAACTAGATTGTACAACCAGTGCATGTTGACAGTGATGACTTAGGGATCTGAGACATGGTCCTTTAACTGCTGGCCGTATGAGGACGATCATGGTCACTCAGCGAGCTATGGAGAGGGCTTTGCTCTGGGTTCCTCTACGTGATAAACTTAGAAATGAGAATATCCGCTATATATAAACGAAATACCACTGACTCATCATGAGATCTCCAAAACTATTCGTCCGATTGTCTTGAAATTTGACATACAATATACTTACTCCCTTCCTTAGACCTAGACACCTACTAAAAAGGATTTTGGAAAATAACGTGACGATGTAAAATAGTGTATTACATTTAAATCAATTGAGAAGTGATTTTTCAAAATTTACATAACACATTACCTAATGGTATAAAGTACTTCGGATTAGTAAGCTGAAGTGGCAATGGGCCGGCCATATGGCCCGAAGAACCGATAACTGATGGGGAAAATAGGTTCTCGAGTGGCAGTCTCGTACCCGGTAGGCATAGTGTAGGCCCACTATACGGAATGATGACCTGGTAAGACATGCAGGAAGTCGATGGATGCAGGTGGCTCAGGACCGTGCTTTGTGGCATTCCTTGGGGGAGGCCTATGTTCAGCAGTGGACTTGTGAAGGGATGTAATGATGATAATGATGAAGCTAAAAGTGTGATTTCTTTGATCCTTTTCTTCTCGTTGGATAGCCATGCAGTGGAAACATTCAGGGCTATGTTTTTCTTTCTCCGGGTGTTTTTCTACTTTAGGGCGTAGAGCAGGAGACCTTGATCGTTCCGAATGCACAAAAATATCTGGGGAATGGTGATGAGTATTCCGACACATGATGACTGGTTCTGAAATAAATCATATTCAATCATATCATCACTCACAACTCGAATAATTACGTTCGTTCGGCCTCACTCTAAAAAGTATAAAGAAATACAAAGTTGTATAATATCGTTAAGACATGCTTAATGAGTTTGTACTTACTTTTATCCATCTTTATGACAATCTAATTGTAAAGTTTTATCAAAGCACACTTGTGATTAAGTTGACAATCAAAGTAGACGCGGAAACATGAATGGCGGCAAAATGGCAAAACAATCTACATTGTTTAGCTGCCGAGGCACGAATATCCGTAAATTTTCGATGGAGTACCTACTCTTCTTACCAATGCGGCCGACACGTTGCGTGACGCCTCGGCGCGAACGGCGGCGTACTTTTTTTTGTTTATACCTTTATTTTATAATTTAGATACTTGAAAAAGTAATGGTAGAGTTACTTTAAGGTATAGTAATTTAAAGGTACCTTTATTTTAAGGTATCGAAATTTAAAGGTATGACGTCATACTGCTTACCGCCTGTACCATAATTTTTTCGGTTATTCAATTCCTGCTTTGAACGAATGGCAGCAATAATATTTGGTCAAACGGTGACGGTTTTATTAAATCGTTTTTTACTGGTATGAGTTAAAATGATCGAATAATTTAGATTTTTAATATTTTGTAATATAATTTTCAAAAAATTTCGTAAAATAAATCTGTCGACCAAATTGGCGTTAAAAATGGGTCAAATTAAGAGTACCCTTAACCGATGTATGCGTCAGGATCGTGCTAAATGGAAGTCTGTAGTCTCTGCCTACCCCTCTGGGTGACAGGCGTGAGGGTTTATGTATATGTAATTTTGAATTTTTTTTTATTCTTATATCACAATCATTATTACAACCCTTCACAAGTCCACTGCTGAACGTAGGCCTCCCCAAGTAACGCCACAAAGCACGGTACTGAGCCACCTGCATCCAACTACTTCCTGCATGACTTACCAGGTCATCAGATTGATGGATATGTAGAGTCAATCGGGGTAACTTTGACAGATCATCAGTCTATTTTTGTATATAACTTTTTTACTATGTTAAATATGAGACAAAAGAGTGTACTTAATATGTGCTCTCAGGTTCGTTTTCATACTCTCAAATTATTTAACGTCTATAAAATTCATACAATATATCAAAAATGGGCAATTTTGTTGTGTGTCAAAGTTATAACCCCTATATGGATAACTTTGACACAGATGAGATTTGTCGTGGGAACCATAATTTTCAAACATTTTATAGCTTCAGGGTAACATTCGTTTAAGTTTTTTACAAATTTCAGATCCAGTGGAGTCATACACAAGTCAATAAAACCATAAAATTGTAGCACTACGAGGGGTGATCCAAAAGTAATGATAGTGAAAATAAAACACGGTAATTAAAGTTAAAATAATAATTTATTTTTCTACATAGCCTCCTAACAAATCAATACATTTAGTCCATCTTTTTTTCTAAACCCTGGATTCCCTTTGAAAAAAACTCTTTGTCTTGACCCTCCCAAAACGCATCAACAGCGGCCATTACTTCGCTATCGTCTTCGAATTTCTTGCCTCGGAGGCGTTCCTTGAGCCAAGGAAAGAGGTAGAAGTCACTAGGAGCTAGATCTGGCGAATAGGGAGGGTGTTCGAGCAGTTCGAATCCCGTTTCTTGAATGGCAGCCATCGCAACTGCGGCTTTGTGAGCCGGTGCGTTGTCTTGGTGAAACAGCACTCCAGCTCGCAGTTTGCCGCGTCTTTTTTCCTTGATGGCCTCCCGTAATCTTCTTATGTGGTCTGCGTAGAAAGAGCCCGTAATAGTGGCTCCCTTTTCCAAATATTCCACCATAATTATGCCTTGAGAGTCCCAGAAAACAGATGCCATAACCTTTCCCGCTGAACTTGAACCTTTGAATTTCTTTGGCGTCGTTGAGGCTCGCTTCCAAGTCATCGATTGTTGTTTCGTTTAAGGATCAAAATGGTGGATCCAAGTCTCGTCCATAGTCACAAAACGGAACAAAAAATTTTCTTGATCTGGTTGGAACTTTTCCAGATTCAAATATCAACTCGATTTTTCTTTTGCTCGTCGGTTAACATTCTGGGTACCCAACGCGCAGAGACCTTTTTCATATGCAAATCGTTCGCAAGGATTCTTTGAACGCTGCCATATGAGATCCCTGTGACCTCAGCTACATGCCTGGTGGTCACTCTTCGTTGTCTTCAGTGAGGGACGTGGATGGGCGTCCTTTGCGATGTCCATCTTCAGTGGATGTTCTGTCCAGTTTAAACTCCTTGGCCCAGCGTGCAACTGTAGAATATGGAGGAGCAGAGTCCCCCAATGTTTCCGCTAAGTCACTGTGTATATCTTTTGAAGACATTTTTTTTTTCAAATAGAGGTACTTGATGACAGCTCTAATTTCGTTTTTCTCCATGTTGATGTTATCTCTTTGACAGTTCGTATTCAAATGAATCTCCCGGAAATCGTGATTTTTATTTATATGATTTTTTTAGGTTGACGTAGTGAGTATATAAGCAAGCAAAAAAATTATTTTTTTTTGGTTTTTATGCGGACCTGAAGTAACCGATTATCATTACTTTTGGATCACCCCTCGTATCTTTATTTAAACTCTTTGGCATTCGAATTCCTCTTTGAAAGTTTACCACTGCAAAAAGAAAACAGTTGTGTACGGTACTTTAAAATAAGTTTTTGAAGTTAACTTCGTTTGACAGCTACTTTTTTTCTGGAGAGTTCGTTTACGAAGTTTGTTAAGTACACGAATTGTATAAATTCAATGTTATGCACTAAATGTTGTTCGCGTAGAAAATAAAAGAGTATTTTGCGATTTGACTGTCAAAGTTACCCCGATTGATTGTACCGTAAAATGGGGTGAATAGATAATTGCGGGGTGGATAGAAACAAATCCGGTTATTTGACAAAGTTGTCCCTAGGTTTTTCACGATTTTCAAAATAAAGGAAAAAGTTGTCCCTAGGTTTTTTACGATTTTCAAAATAAAGGAAAAATGTTAGTATATAATAAAACAGTAGAAATAAACACATGTTACCAATATGTAGAAAAATCTACAGACAATCAAATAACCAAGGCAAATCCTCTACAAGGAGAATGTCCCATGCCCAGTAGTGAACTTTAACGAGCTGGTGAAAAATTAGACACAGAAGAACAGAAGACAGGTCCTATTTAACTAACATCTGTAGTGCACATTAACCATTAACATGCCACAAACGCATTCCCGTGTCCTGTACGCCAAAGCACAACGTAAACAAAAATACCTACTACGAAAAAAATTGTGTTGCCAAGAATTGATATATCGGTAACATACAGTGACTGCTTTGTGTTGGTTTTTTATGCAATAAATTACTACTTATAATCTGAGATGTTTTATTTAATCTTGCACTATCTGCTACTCTTTGTACATATGTACTTATTACATAAATAATAATAAACAATAACAATAAAATAGTAGTACCCACAGCACTACTCTTCATCGTGATGACGTCACTGTCGCGACTGAACGACAACTAGCTGACCTTCCTTTTTAAAACATCCTTAGAGATGTAGCCGTGTCGCTGTGATGTAGCGTGTGTACTTAAACCAAATCACTACGCCCCAACTCCACATAATCTTATCTGCCTTACCCCTAGTGTTTTTGGAAAGCCGCAGGCGCGGACGGAGGGATAGCAGCCCCTCTCCGCAGAAGGCGACCAATAAGTCAAAGCTGCGGAGGTGAGCATGGGTGCCTACGATTTGTTACACTAGCGGTCAACCATAGAGGGCTTTGGCGTGCTGGACATAGTATTTGCTTGGAAAAAAAAACATATTTTAGCTCAATGTTTTTGAGTACTTGTTTTTTAAGCTTACACATTGCTGGGATATTCTATATTGAGGAATGTAGAATTAAAATACCAGTAATAACTTTTCTGTATCTATATTTTTATGGACCGGGTTTTTTGTCGACTATAGATGTCGTCGGCGCACAGGATCCGCAAGTGCTGGTCCAGTATAGGTGACTTTGGCGCTTAAAAGGTTAATGGCAGGAAGAACAAAACTTAGATCCAAAAAAAAATTGTGATCGATCGGACACTAATTATTTTTAAATAATTTATTTTATGGTTTACATTATAAGTTCTCCGTTGGTACTAAAGACGAGAATAAGAATGAATTGATAATAGTTCTTAATATTATAAAAACCCACCAACTTGACATCTATCTTGAAATCACCTGGACTAGAAAGCGGCAATAAAGGCAAAATACGATGAAAAGCTTTAAATGGGCAAATATACATGAAAACTGGATAATAATGTCAAAAAAGCAAAAAAAAATCTAGCAATACAACACCTTGCTATGATGCTTCTCAAGATTGCTTACGTGGTCTGCATGTAAGTGTCGTAACTTCAGGAGTCTAGACTCGTAGTGCTGCAGTTCAACCTGCAAATAAACATAGATACAAGTTTTCTTCAAATTCTGTATTCGTTGCAGCTGCTACCCTTAGTTAAAAGTAATAATTAAAATTGTATGTCGGGGATGAAGGACATCATGTGAAATCCACCAACACGCATTGGGGCAGCACAGCGAACACTTCCTTGCCCCGAAAACCCCTCTCAGAAATGAGAGAAGGCCTGTGCCAAGCAATGGGAGTGGGACGTATATAGGCTCAAATCAAATAATGAATAAAGTTTACTCGGAACTAGTAAATGCATATCCAAATTTATTCATTTCTGGAGCACAGTGGTTTGACCTTTGATACGTAATTAGCACCTGCTTTTTGTCTCAAAAGTCGCAAAATGGCAAAATTGGTCACTCCGAATTTTTGTTTTTGGTCTTGGAGCAACCAGCGCCTTTATTAGTTTCGAGGGATTTGAACCCTCTGTGGCGTAATAATAATGTTTTGGTAATATTGTACCTGAATTTCTTCAAACTTATTATTTTTCCATTATCGATATTTCTCCGGTATAATATCCAAACTATTTGTAAAACATATGTCCAACAGCTGTGATATTGTTGCGCGCCATAGTTGATGCCGGTAAATGCCACTAGCGCCATCTAGTATCGAGTAGCAGACATTAAGAGAGCTTTCTAGAAAACGCCATGCTAGAACTTTCCACCTCCAGCGCCATCTAGTATCGAGTAGCAGGCATTAAGAGAGAACTTTCTATACTTAGTGCTCGAACATTCGGGATGTTTCAGGGGAAAAGGTCCAAAATTATAGTGCGTAAGTTTATGCGCAAGTACAGGTGCACTCTCTATTCTCTCGTTCTTATAATCCGATGCGACGCTAAACCGACACGAGCGAAAGGAGATCAAGCGCAGGACCACGGACTTTACGTGGTTTCCGAGGCACGGGGGTGAGACAGCGCGAACTTCCTGAGATTTTCTTGACGGAAAAGCTTATTGATTTTTTGGCCCGACCCGCGGTTCGAATCCACGACTCATAATCAGCAGGCGCACTACTACAACCACTAGACGAGCGACGCAGTCAGTTATCAGCAATATTTATGTGTTTAAACATTATGCGTTAGTTCAAACTATCTGTAAGTATTAATTAATGAAGTTGTTTCTTTCATTGAAAGTGCCTTTTATTCATTTAGTAATTTATTTCAGTTATAATATTTCGGATATTAGAAACAAACAATGCGAACATTTCGCAAGTAAGCAACAGGTTATAAAGCTCACCTTTAAGGAGGCCAGTTCATCGACAGTGAAGTTTGCCGCAGCGGCTATACGCCATAGACCTTGCACCTTGGGCTCTATAAATTCTTTGTTTGTAGGACCTGTTGAGAAATATATGACAAAATTACGTCACGTCCGGATCAACTTAAACTATATATAAATATGTATCATATAAGAGATAACACCCGATTAGTGATTTATGACACGTAATAACATAATAGGTACTAATTGTTTTTACCTAGTCCAATCCGACGTCAACATTCATCTAACTTATAAGGAGCAATTTCCAAACGCTTTTTATGTAAACTTAAAGTAAAGATAAAGATGAAGAAAGAAGGTAAAGATCGTATAACATAAGTCACACTTAGAAAAATGCCTGCACACTCAAATGTTATTTCTTTCATAGTATAAAATTTATGGATATATGGAAAGGGGTATGAAAGTGAATGCAAGTAAGACGAAGGTTATGGTTTTTGAAAGAGAAGAAAGTAAACCGATTTGTGAAATAAGAATAGAAGGGGAGTTGATCGAGCAAGTAGATGAATTTGTATATTTGGGCTGCTTATTTAGCAGGGATGGGAGATATGATAAGGATATAGAACGACGAGTGAATGCGGAAAATAAAGTAAATGGGGCCCTGCACTCTATTGTGAAGAGTCAAAATGTGTCAAAAAAGGCACGTATGGCAATTCACAATGCTGTGTTGGTCCCTACTTTAACGTATGGTAGTGAAAGTTGGGTGTGGCAGAAGAAGCACGAGAGTAGAATCAACGCAGTAGAAATGCGGTCCTTAAGGAGTATGTTAGGGCTGAATCTGAACGACAGAAATTGTGTAATAAGAGAAGAGTGTGGTTTGCAAGATGATGTTTTGACCAGGATTAAGAAAGGAATGCTTCGGTGGTTTGGTCATGTGGAAAGAATGAATGAGGAAAGAGTGACAAAAAAAATTATGTTGCAGAAGTGAATGGCAGAATCGGAAAGGGACGTCCTAGGTGAAAATTTATCGACTAAATTGGCGATTTATTGAAAACGGGCCAAATTAGGAGTACCCTTAACCGACGAGCATGTATGCGTAGGTGTATGGATGTGAAGGAGGCGAGAGAGGTGTGTCAGGATCGTGCCAAATGGAAGCCTGTAGTCTCTGCCTACCCCTCTGGGTGACAGGCGTGAGTGAGTGTTTATGTAAAATTTAGATATTCAATAAGTATTCTCAATTTATGTATTAAAACTACCGTGTCGTGGCGATATAAGAATATCCACTACCCCGTCGTATCGTCGTACCGTGTCGTAAGAGGCGACAGTGCGAAACAAACCAGGGGATGGCAGGAGCGTATTTCTAATAACAACTAAAATATAAAAGAAACTGCAAATACCAACCCCTCTGTCGAGTGTGGTAACTTTGGAAAAGATCCCTCTTATGAGGCAATTCATGTGGAGGCCTATGTTCAGCAGTGAACTTTCATAGGGGCTGTAATAGATGGGGTGAATTATACGCACACATATGCACATAAAACTAGCACACAGTCCATCTGATGGTGAATGGATGCTGTGGCCCACAGACACGTATATCTATCCTCGAATAAGAATCAGTAAAATGTTTAAGCCTGGAAAGAACCAGCAGGAAACCCAGCGTTACTTTCGTTTTTTTTTTTTGAAAAGGAAAGCTCACAATCACATATTACGTTACACAAATAACAACACAAAACAAATTAGAAATAGCTTGGTAGTGATCACCTCAATCCCAGCAAAGTGGCAGATTGTACTCTACGGGCTTCTGTACAATTTGCCGAAGGGTATGTTTGTGGTCCATGGTACTAAAGCCTTTTCAGAAATCGGCTTGTTCGGGAGGCTGGAAGTCGTCGAGTCTGCGTGCGAGATGATTCGTAATGACTCTCTAAAACAGCATAGACGCGGCTCAGAAGGGATATCGGTCTTTAGTTCTTCAAGAGGGTGTTGATACCTTTCTTGAAGAACAAGACCAACGAACTTCTGCTCCACGCCTCCGGAGTAGTGCCACCATGGAGGACGGAATTAAAAAGCCTCTGAAGGACTTCAAGTACCGATTTTCCACCCCCCTTTCAGAGGATCCGCTGTAATTCCATCCTCGCCCTGGGACTTGCCGTTTTTAAGGTGCTGGAGAGCCATTATAGAGCCATATAATATTAAAAAATTTATCATCCATAAATTTTTTAATATTATAATAACCCTTGTTATACAAACTTTGTTTAAAAATGTTTTAAACATTGTTTCAATTAACATCGATTTATATGAGCAAACCTTTAAAATATACTTTTATTTAATGACTAATGGCTGTTATTATGGAATTGGAATGGTTATGCGGCTATTTCACTGGTTATTCTGCGAGAGTGTGGTCATTCCGACCGAGTCGAGCCGAACCATTCGTGCTGCAGCCATAAATATTCATTATGGATCTACCACAAAAAGACCAACCACATGGTTTGAGGTGATTACTATGCTGGTTAAGAAAGTAGAGCATGGTTTCGGCGTCACTTGAAATATGAGTAATGATTCTATATTTCTTTGTTTTCTTAGCCCATTCACTGCTGTAAAACTTGTATATAATTTTAGATGCATATGCGTGCATGAGTGCGCGCGTGATGAGATGTACGGATCGTTTCGTATATCTTTCTTTGTTGTACGTAGTAGTACACAGGGAACGGGTAGCTAAGAATGAGTATTTCCCTGGCACTATAATTAATAGTTCCAGATTAGTAATTAAGAGTTGTGGCTGTTGGAAAATCGACTACCAGGAAATTCATAATTCCTACGAATTACGATGAAATCCGTCGTTAAGGGTTAAAACATGAGTTAAGACCCAACTGCGTAAAATATGACCGAAAAGAGAAAAAAAAACGACGGGTTGCGCTCCGGGAGCGCCGGCAGAAGTGAAAACTTGAATATTAAGACTGTGCATTTTTGATATTTTGAAATGTTTAGGGAATAATTTTGCACGAATTGCTTTAATTATCAGTATAAAAGTACTATCATTTATGTGGTAGAATACAATATTTATTTATTGCGCTATCGTACACAAACATGACAATTTATATTACATTCGCGCAAACGCCCTCGCGCCGACTAAACCATACAGCAGGCGCAGGCATACATTTTCATCGCGCCGTAGAAAAAGAAGTGGATACTTCCGCTCCTACGCCGTCCGTCTTACGAATTTTCGATAAGGTCACGTGTCCTGACGCGAGTTTAACATTTTTTACCCATTACAAAAAAAGTGTACAACGCCGCTAAAGAAGTTTTCACGTCAATATAATATATCCTCTGTCATTTTCACAACTGAGATGTATCAAACAAGACCCCATCTGTAAAAATCGTCATTAGCATCATCATCATTATTATAGCGCTTCACAATTTCTCTGTTGAACATAGGCCTCCCTCAAGTAATGCCAAAACGCACGATCGCTGACCCATTACCGATATATATACACCTTAAAAATATTGTTTTATTCTGGGTTAGATTCTGGGGGAGTCGAGTAAAAATTACCTCGAGCAGCGATTCTATGCAGCCTGTCATATCCATCACGCAGCGCTCTATGCTTCTCCCTCAGCAAGTTAGCTTTATCCACAAAATCTTTGGAGGGCACCTCATTGGTCTCTAGGTTCACTTCATTAAAGTTCTCGATTTCTTCTTCGTTAACCGCATCTAGAAGTAGGCGAAGATATTAATTTAAGTAAGATTATGTCTGTATATAAATCTTATCTCCCTTGCTATGTGAGTGACCTATATGTTCAGTTCACTGACATAATTAAAGACTGATTAGTAGGAAAAAAGTTTACGCTCTAGGCTGTCTTATTTTATAAAAGTGAGTGTAACAAGTGATAATACTCTCCAATTGATGATCATCTACATATATCCTTGATTTAGAATCAAAATGTACATATGTAGTCACCCTTGAGCACTGAGATGAAATGCCTGAATAATTTAACGTAAATTGTGAAACTGTGGATTCCTATGAATGGATTGGATATGATTATTTTATTCAATAGGTTTATTTTATCTATTTAATAAATTTCAGTGTATTCATGTTTCAATAGCATGTAGCACGCAAATTAAGGCAATTATATCGATATTACAGACAGAGACTTCAATTATATTAATATGTATATGTATAGATTACGTAATACGAAACGTAAAAACGTAATACGAAATCAAATTTTACAAGGATTTTATTGAAAAATAGTTTATGGTGATTCTATTTCTATTTACTTAAAGTTTGAGCTTCAGGACCACAGTCGCCCCATTTCAAAGAATGACTTAATTGTGATGCAACCAGTCTGTGTAGATTATCAAATTGAATGCGAGGGGCAACTAAATTAATTGGATACAAATTTCTGCCATATGTGTCTAACTAGGTCATTGTCATTTTTTATGATGTCCTAACCATGTGTATGTCTACATTTATATAGTACTAGCGATAATGCCCGGCTTCGCACGGTTGATTTCCGAATCTCGACAACAGCGCCATCTACCGGGTCCAATTGTGAATTAAAACCATGGAGGGACCCAAAATTTCATCAAAATCGGCCCAGCCATTTTCGAGTTTACGAGACTAACTGATTTTTATTTAGAGAGACTAGTATAATGCGATCATTTAAGCGGAATCATGGCCCAAAGTCTATTTTGCCAGTATCTGTCTACTGGAAAGAGCCACCTGTCTTAGTTAAAGACTGTGGCAGCTTCTGAAAGAGATTTTGAGTATTATTGAGATTCTACGCAACGCAATAACGATCCAAGAGCAAGTTTTTTCAGACACTATTCCTACGAGATCACGGATATCAGTCTGAGCGAGATTTAAATGGATCTCCAGCATCAAAAAAACACCAAGGGCCCTGGTAGAAAGCCGATATTTGAATAACTTCAGAATCAGTTCAATTCAATGTTTTGTTCTTTAAGAAAGGCGTCAACATCATACTGAAGAAAGCAGATAGAACAAAAAGTGACCGATTGCTTCTTGAGCCACGTCTACATACTGTTTTCCAAACAAGCTTCTGGTCTCCCAAACAAGCCGCTATTAGAAAAGTCGTTAGTACAATGTACTACATACACACCCCTCGACAAATTGTAGAAAAGAGCGAAGAGTAGAATCATCTTAGTCTTGCGTATGTGGACTATAAAAAAGCCGTTGACTTCTTCGAAATTTGGGCGGCGCTATAGTCCGGTCAGTGGTAAAGAGTTTGCACAGTATGTACAACACCAAAGTTCGACACTTTCAACTGCATGAAGGTGTGAGACAGAGTGATTTTATATCCCCGAAATTCTTTGGAAGACATTTTTAAGCTACTAGACTGGAAAGGATACGGTATCTACATCGATGGAGAGTACAGCACTAATTTTCGATTTGGCAACAATATACTATATTATATATACCATTATTATAATTATTGTACTTAATAACATAATTATACTTAATTATAAAAATTGCATTATCTTTTATTATTTTACTATAATAATTAGAATCGCTGGAGGACCATGTTCGTACTCATGACCGTCATACCAATCAGGATGATGCTACTGCCAATCTTTTGTATCAGTTTCCATCTGCCGCCTCTTATGACACTCACATAACAATATGAGGTAATGGATGGTCTTACACCGCCACTACACAGTTTACGTATTTTATTACGTTTATTTAGCTTATTTTTATATTCCCTACATTTTGAGTACTTTGCAGCACCTATGGCCACGGGAGGGAGCTGAGGCATTCAATGTCATAATGATCGACATTCCAATGTCATAGTGAAACACTGCTACGTTTTGCTTAAAATGATTAATTTTCATCCAATTTACGCAGGAAGAACTTATAGTATCTTGAAGTCTTGCATGAAATTTTATTAATTAAAGGATTACAGGTAGCTCAGGATCGCGCTTAGGGTCAGAAATTTTTGTTGGTGGAATGGTAGCATGCAGCTATATTCCCTAATGAAATTAGGATGTTTTTGATTACATTTCAATAGCCTCGTGGATCATCCTTAGTAGGAATCAGTATTCTTTTGCGAGGATTTGCGGTCTATAAAATCTGAGGTAAACCTGAAAACATTTCCACATCCCACAGGATGGTGGTGACATACACCATTTATATATCTGTACAAATTTTTTTTCTATACATACACATTATGAAAAAATAACGTAAATTCATACTTTTGAATCCCTCATATCCCTCAGTCTCCACATTGCCCAATAAATCATAGTACTGGTCAATTTTCTCCTGGTGATGTGTAAACTCCTCCCTCAAAGCAGATAGCTCCTCAGGAGTAAACCCTGAGGCCTCCGCCTTCGACCACAGCATGTTCAGTTTTTTGTCCTTGAAGAGACTTCTGTTTATATAGTCGTCCATGGCAGAGTTATGTGCCTGTGATAGATTTACAATATGATATTCTTAACATACTTTTAATATTATGTACAATTATTATGTAATATTGTGGTGAGAAAATAAATTATTGTTATTCATAATTCATAAATAAATAATAGAGCCGTAGTAGCTCAGATGGTTAGTGCTCGCTGTAAATTTCACAATACGAGAGCAAACCGGGTTCGATCCCCGCCGGCACCAATGAAATTGTTGATTGCAATTTTAAGTGCTGATTTACCACGTGCTCGGCGGTGAAGGAAAACATCGTGAGGAAACCTGCATGTCTGAGAAATAAGAAAAAAAATATTTCGAAGGCATGTGAAGTTCGCAAACACGCATTGGGGCAGCGTGGCGGACTATTCCTTGCCCTAAAACCCTCTCAGAAACGAGAGGAGGCCCAGGCCAGGCCCAGCAGTGGGACGTATATAGGCTGTAACTTTATAATTCATAATTCTTTATTGCATGTCACAAAGTATAAATCATTATCATCAATCATTTCACAAAACTCATAAGTAATAGCCTACATATGTCTTTCTGCGCAATAGCCTCACTCAGGGGGTGCGACACTGCAAGAAAGGGGAGTGAAACACTGCTCGAGTACAACTTGAAGGATTTCACATGTCGTTTGTTAATGTATGGTATTGAAAGTTGGGTGTGGCAGAAGAAGCACGAAAGAAAATGAATGCTGTAGCAATGCGGTCTTTAATGAGTATGCTAGGGTTGAGTCTGAATGACAGGGTGATAAATTGTGTGATAAAGAAAAAAATATGGTGTGCAAGATGTTGTTATGACCAGGATTAAGAAAGGAATATTTCGGTGGTTTGGTCTTGTAGAAGTAATGATACGAGGAAAGAGTGACAAAGCTTAAAATTTATGATAACTAAAATTAATTTATGTGTTATTATATTTCTGTAGAATAAATGATGTCATATAACAGCTAGGTTTCTGTCATATCAATTCAATGTGGTATGACTATACTATTTATGATACATTTCATTAACAATATTAAAATTGAACTTTATCTGCTTATAACAGAGGTTAAGGTATTTTCCTTTGTTTAATTTCCTTTTGAAAGCAAATATTACTTTAATGTTTTATTTGGCAAACACCATGTTTTTTGGAAATTTGACTTATTTTAATTCTTGAAATGATTTTAATTGTTGTTTGACATTCATCATGATGTTTAAGTATGTTGTATGTTTTTGGTACAATTATATTGCATTAAGTGATTTTTTAAAAATAAAAATTTTTGTAAATAAATAAATAAATTGTTTTGCAAACTATGGATAACACTAAAATATTTTGTGTTTTTGATACATCTTTCTCTTTCTAATAAAAATATGAAACCAATATTGAGGGTTGCCATTTCTAAGGTTGTAACAAAAGGATTAGTTATAAGTTGTACAGGTTGATACCTACATACTATGTTGATCAGTTAAACAAATTTACAGTCCTCAAGTTTAGCACATGCATGCACTTCAACCACACAGATATCACACACCCCCCACCTTGAAAACCCCTGCTGCCCCTGCCAAAAAAAGAGCATAACCAAAAATGTTATGCTCTTTTTATACAGTAACAATTAAGCTGCTATGTGCTGAATTACAAGCTCTAATTCTAATCATATTAAAAAAAGTTAAAGATATAGCCTACATATGTGCCACTCCTCCGGCACAGCTTCCGCTCTTTTCTGGAAGGGTTTTAGGACAAGGAATTGTCCGCTGTGCTGCCCCAATACATGTTGGCAAACTTCACATGTCTTCGAAATATTTATTTTTCTTATTTCTCAGACATGCGGGTTTCCTCACAATGTTTTCCTTCACCACTGAGCATGTGGTAAACTAGCACTTAAAACTGAAATTAACAATTTCATTGGTGGCGGTGGGGATCGAAGCCTGTTTTCTCGCATACTTTGTAATTTACAGTGAGTGCTAACCATCTTAGCTACCACAGCTCTCATTTTAATGCTTAATTCTAATCACATAATGAGTCATTATAATCAGAGAGTAAACTGTCGTCAGGTGTAGCAATGCACCCATATCATTATAATTCATTTAAGATAAACATAAATACTATGAACAACAGTCATCAATTATGACACAAAATAAATAACATTAGTTACAGCTAACTTCATTTACTGAATTGAGTTGCATTTAATAAGAATTATCATAAGCTTTCAAAAAGGAATTTACTTAAAAATTTATAGATTTATATTATAAACTATACTGATGCAATAAATACCACTCACTGGATCCATTTTCTGTCTGCCAATGTTTTTATCGTCGAAATGCTCTCGCAGTCCATAAACATTCATAATATTTGTTAACTTTTGTCTTAAATCAGCCTCCTTCAAGCCCTCTTTGTCACCACCTTCACTCTTAACTCTCTTATAAGTAATTTCTTCTTTATCTTGTATCATCAAGTCACTATAAAGTGATTTTAATTTTGGCTCCGTAAGCCGCTAAAACAAAATTATAAAGCAATTTTCATTGCAGTCTAAAAAATTTTTTTTTTACCACCAGACAAGCAGATGCTCAGCGGCTCTCTAACTCTGTGGTGTCAACATTTAACTCATACAAACTAAACATTTTGCTTCATTTTTTGCAATTTTTAGAATTTTATTTCACCACGTCATCATTACAGCCCTTCACAAGTCCACTGCTGAACATAGGCCTCCCCCAAGGTATACCACAAAGCACGGTCCTGAACCACCTGCATCCATCGACTTCCTGCATGTCTTACCAGATCGTCACTCCATCTAGTGGGGGGTCGCCCTACACTTCGCCTTCCAGTATAAGGCTGCCACTTGAGAACCCTTCTTCCCCAATGGTTGTCGGTTCTTCGAGCTATATGGCCTGCCCATTGCCACTTCAGCTTACTAATCCATTGGGCTATGTCGGTCACTCTGGTTCTACTGCGGATATCCTCATTTCTAAGTTTATCATGCAGAGAAACTCCGAGCATAGCCCTCTCCATAGCTTGCTGAGAGACTTTGAACGTCCTCATACGGCCAGCAGTGAAGGACCACGTCTTGGTTCCGTAGGTCATCACTGGCAACACACACTGGTTGTACAACTTAAATTTCAGGTTTTGAGATATACCTGACGAGAAGATGCGTCGTAATTTCCCGAATGCTGCCCAGCCGATTTGAATCTGTCAATTGACCTCTCGGTCGAAGTTGGACTTACCTATTTGAACTATTTGTCCCAGGTAAACATACTCGTCAACAACTTCGAGCTTAGTGCTCCCAACAAATACCGGCATAGGTGTAATATGGACATTAAACATGATCTTTGTTTTGTCCATGTTCATCTTAAGACCTATCCGTTCGAAGGCACTATTGAGATCATTGAGCATAGTGCTTAAGTCCTCCAGCGATTCTGCCATAAGGAATATATTGTCGGCAATTCGAAGGTGAGTGATGTAATCACCATTGATGTTAATACCGTATCCTTTCCAGTTTAGTAGCTTGAAAATTTCTTCCAATGCAGCGGTGAAGAGTTTCGGGGATATAAAGTCACCCTGTCTTACACCTCTCTGCAGTTGGATAGGTTTCATACTCTGGTTCTGTACTCGGATAGCTATCGTAGCCCTACTGTACAAACACTTCAGCACTTCAATATAACGACAGTCAACTTGGCACCGCTGAAGAGACTGTAGCACCGCCCAAATTTCGACAGAATCAAAGGCTTTCTCATAGTTCACATACGCCAGGCAAAGTGAGAGATTGTACTTTTTGGACTTCTGTACAATTTGCCCAAGGGTAGCCGTGTAGTGGCGGTTGAGAATACCCTCTACCCCATATCTTCGTGGGTGTCGTAAGAGGCGACAGAGGGAGACAGGCACTTCCTAATAACAACAATAATATAATAAACAAACTGAGGTTGCCAACCCGCTTGCCAAGCGTGGCAACTATGGCAAATATCCCCCCACGAATAATACATACAGTAGAGGAATGGAATTATTTGCCAACATCTGTTTTTACATACAATTACAATGTAAAAGGCCTTCAAGAGAAGAGTAAGTAGGGTAAGTAGGCTTTTGTTAGGCTAAGATAATTCCTGTCATTTACTACAGTCCAGGGCTTTATCCTTATAAGTATATATAATTCCTCTGTACATGAGTGTTTGCCACTGAACTCCTAAACGGCTGGAACAACTCTTATGAAAATTTTTGTGTTTGAATCAAATAAATACAGTTCAGACACATAGATCAGGTGTTTGGCGCCGTTTGAGATCCAGAAATCACCCGTGCGAAGCCGGGCGGATCGCTAGTCATCTATTATATTTATATAAAGTTCGCAAAAAAAGAAATATTAAAATATACATCACCGATTTTATTAAGTGTTACCTGTTGAGCTTTTGTCCATAAAATATTTAATTTGTTCATTCTAAATGGCTTTTGTAATGTTCTAAAGTCTACTTCACTTTTATTTTTCTCATTAGCCGACCTCCCATATTTATTTTCACATAAAACATTAGAAAACATAAATAACATAGTTAGAAATAATGAAAGAGTTAAGATTTTTGGATTCATTTTATATTATTACAAAAAATATAATAACATAACACTACTAAATAAAATTCTGTTGTTATGATCACAGAACGCATATGTAGCACACGCTATGTGATTGAAATTGATTGAGATCAGGGTTGCCGTTCTCTAAATTTTAGAGTCTCTATCCCTAGGACTAACAGAAAAAATCCGACAGAAACATCATTTTTCTTTTTCTTAAAATCCGCTAGATGTCCCTAGGTACATTGTCGTGCTACTATGTATTTTTCAGTTAGCCAAATTGCTATCTGAAAAATCTTGCCAAATCGTATACAATGAATACTTAGTGTATATAAATTAAAAAAAACCTTAAAAAGAGCGGACTCAATTTCATATAAATCGGTTATTTATATTGTAGGTTTATGACATGACAACCAAAACAAAAATTATTTATGTACAAAATAAAAAAATTGTGAAAATAAATCTTTAATCTTTAAACAACGTTCAAACATTAGTCACCATATTAAAAATAAAACAATTAGGTCAGTACGTTCCTGGACCTCAATTTCAAAATCAATAGCGAATTAGGATCCAGATCTTCAAAAAGAACTTCAGCGGAAGTTGAATCTTCGCCATTGTCTCCAGTTCCCATCTTTGGTTTGCCTTTACCGACTTAGTTAACAACATCTTCAGAAATATCATACGTTGCGCAATTTTTTTTTAATCCTTTACTGATTTCTAAACAGAAGAAGGCAAATTGAACTATGTTTAGCAATGTACAAAGCTAATGTGCATTCAGCTCTTGAAAAATCTTTGCATATTTTTGTTGCAGTGGAAGAAAATGTCAGCTGTTTATTTTGGGAAAGCAATTCGTATTGTTTTTGAAGTTTCTTCTCTACCAAATCCTTTTTAAGGTCGTTTAATTTCGCGTACATTTCAGAGTCACCTAGTACGGGTTTCAGACAATGTTTAAATTCTTCATTATTCTCCCAATCACTTCTGTAATGCTGGGTGCAGTGGTGTTTTTTCAACGGAGCTTCCAAACTGCCTAATCTTGATAAGTAATATTTTTCACGCGGAAAATTCACACACAATAGTCACAAAATATGAACTCTAAAGAAATGAGCCTGCTGAATGAAACATTGGTAACGTGAGCAGAATTTTTATCTCACTCATTAGTGGTAGTAAAGCTGAGAACAAATTATCGGACACGTCCGCCAGCCGCGGCTGACAGACGCGACTGGCGGTGTGCACGGTAGCTGAGACGGCGTCCTCGGACGCCTCGCTTCGGTCATTCCAGAAAGGTTTTGTCAATCGAGAAATATGACAAACAGTAACAGCGAGGACGAATTTATAAAGTTAGCGGCAGCTGCTTTATGTCGTCCTCCAAAAAAAAGGGGACCCAAACACTCCTTGTCCATGATATTAATGTAAAACGACTCGAGTATGGTGAATTTCATACATTGTATCCAGATTTACAAAAAATGATAAACGTTACAAAAATTGAATAAATACATTTATAGTGCTGCGTTTGGTTATATAGGTACTCGTGGCCACGAACACATTCAATTGATTTTTCTTCATCACACATCATGTTGCGAGCGCAGTTGGTTCGCTTGTGACACTCGAAACGTCCGCGGACGCGTCCCGTGCACCGTTCACACTGTCCGCGGACGCACAAACATCCAGCCGGCTAGATTCTGTTCGGACGTCCGAACGCTCAAGAGCAACGCAAGGTCATGTCCGCGTCTTAAGATCGATAGTTTGCACAGTGTAGTATTAAATGTACTGGCTAGATTTCAATAAGCCGCGTATGTCAGCCGCGGCTGACGGACGCGTCCGATAATTTGTTCTTAGCTTAATAAACGAAACAGATGATAAGTGATCGAACGTCATTGAATTGTTACTTTTATTTCGGGAATTCCTGTGATATTATATTACATGTGCAGTCTTCCCAGCGGTAGATTACAAAATTGAACATACGATAAAGGTAAATAATTTATTTGAAATAATTTATAAAAAAAGTCGCCAACTCAAAAGTCCAAACGTCGCTAGAAGTCGCTAAATAATTATTTCTCGCTAAAACGATTTTTTTATCCGCTAAATACATTGTTAAAATCCGCTAGATCTAGCGAGAAAGTCTCTAAAACGGCAACACTGATTGAGATTCTTTTTCTTTTGCTAGCACTTCCGATAGGTAGGATAGGAGTTGTTATTTTGTTGTGATATATCGAATTTATTCGATGTTTTCCGTCCGATATATCGCATTGATACGATGTTTTGACAAATATTTATTATATTCGATATATCGATATATTTATTTATAGAAACATCGAATATGTTTTATTTTATAGTCAAATCTATGAAAAATTAAACGTGGTAAAATCTGGAAAAGTAGTTTTAATCAAAACTAAATAATTTCTTTAATAATTAAATAACTTCTTGATGAGTTCAATTTTAAATAAGTGTTTTTAAGTAAGTACAACTCTCACTCTTCTTGCGTCGTCTTCTGCTGTTTGGCGGTAACGCAATTAAATCATTGTTTTGATTGTTTGTCTAAGACAAGTTTATGTAAGACTTTCACTTGCTATACAATAAATTACTCCAAAATAACTGAATTGACGCATCACCTTATGTGGGGATAAAGTTAATATATATATATATATATTAGGTTTTGTGTTATAATTCCGATATATCGTGAATATTATGTTAAGTATTATTATTGTGTTAATTAAGTTGTTTTCAATAAAAATAGCTTTGGTCAAAGACAGCGTAATAAAGTTATACCTTTGATAGATTTTATATTTATTTATTAGAGGCCTACTGAGCGTATATATTACGATATTGATATAATTATGTTGTATATTTTAATTTTATTATTATAGTATTTTGATTTATGTTTATTTTTGTATCGGCATTTTTGCATGTGTTCCGTTCTTACTGTCGGGATTAGCCGCCTTGAGCGTTAGAAATCAATACAATTTTTTAAAAATAATATCAGTTGCCTACTCATCTAACGGTCTACGGGAGTGGTAAACCGAATGATCGGTTAAGTCAGGTGAAATTCGTTTATTTCAAAAATAATTACCAACTCACAATACATCTTTCTTTAATAAATCTTTTACTGTACAGTCTATTAAGCTCTGGAATGCCCTACCTTTGTATTTACGCGAAGCTCAGACTATTGTAGTCTTTAAGCGACTTCTTAAAGAGCATTACTTGTCTCAATCGTTCGAAAATCATTAGGATAAATTATGTGATTATGTAGTTTTGTATTTATTTGTTTATGTTATTGTTAGTGGTATATATTTGAGGATATATGTATGTATATATGTGTATGTGTGTATATGTATGTAAGTATATGTATGTATATGTATATATATGTATATATGTGTGTGTGTATGTTTATGTATATACCTATGTATATGTGTATCATATTTTTTTTAATATATTAATTATTTACTTATATGTTATTTTATTGCATGTATTGATATTATATTAGGTATATTTATATTGCACCACCTACCTAGTACTCACTGTTTTATTCCTTTACACCTTTGGTTGCCTGGAAGAGATCGCTATGTAGCGATAAGGCCGCCAAATTGTACATGTAATCTGCTCTCTGTTATGTTCTTTGTAAATTTGTTTGTGGTGTGCAATAAAGTATATTCATTTATTCATTCATTCATAATTATTGGAATGGTATTTACAACATAGTTACGTTCGTAGATTATGTGAGAAAGGTATTAAAAACTACTACTGAAATAAAACTTAAATCTAAAATGCATCTTTAAAGTCGTGTTATAAGTAGTTCTAATGTTCCAAGTAGTTAACCAACGTGACAGTCACGATGATTTTTCACTGTTCCTTTTTTGTAACAGGAACGATAGTCACGGTTATTTAAAAAAAAATACACTTTCCACCAAGTATAGTCGCCTCTTACGGGATGATATGGATATTCATACACCGCCACAACAGAGTAATGGACCCCTCAAAACATTTTATTGGTCTACAGCGTCTTGCATGGTCTACAGCGTCTTGCAATCATCGTTTCTCTAGCGCTCACTTGACCTTCATAAAACATATACATAAAAATACATAAACACACGCGCCTGTCACCCAGAGGGGTAGGTAGAGACTACAGACTTCCATTTGGCACGATCCTGACACACCTCTCTTGCCTCTTTCACACCACACCTACGCATACATGCTGGTCGGTTAAGGGTACTCCTAATTTGGCCCGTTTTCAATAAATCGCCAATTTGGTCGATAAATTTTCGCCTAGGACGTTCCTTTCCGACTCTGCCATTCACTTCTGCACCATAAATTTTCTTTGTCACTCTTTCCTCATTCATTCTTTTCACATGACCAAACCACCGAAGCATTCCTTCTGCAATCCACCTCGCCTCTCTGGGAGACAGAACGTCGGAACAAAAACTTTATTAAACTAAGTTTGTATAAAAAGGGTTAGGTATTTTATTATTAAGGAATTTATGGATGATAATAACTCCTGGGAAGGTTGATCGCTACCAAGCTATTTCTATTTTGTTTTGTGTTGTTGATTGTATCACGCATGATTGTAAGCTCTTATTTTTTTTAAACTGGCCCCGTTGGGTTTATTGCTGGTTCTTCCCAGGACAAAGGTTTTTTTTTTGCGAACCATTGGTAAATGAAAAAAGTGACTTTCAATAAGTATTATTCATAATCTATATTGAATAAAAAAGTTTCTGTTTCTGTTTCCAGAGCTTACTGTGCGTAATTTTGTGATTTTTTGTTTGTCTTCTTATTTTGTGACTCGGTTTTAACTTTTTGGACTGTTTCTTCCATAATAACTTTTTGTACGTGATAGAGCCACACTACATCTATATTATACATAGTTGTAGCACGAATGGGTCGGCTCAACCGGGGCAGGACCACGCTCTTACAGAATACCAGCTTAAAATAGTAGCGTAATGCTACTGTGTTTCGTATGGTGAGTGTAGAGAACTGGAGACCCTTTTTAC